ACCGTGCCCCAGATGGCCCCAGACCTCATACACACGTGGGGGGTCCTAGCACCCAATCCCACCTACCCCGAACAAGTTCTGTCCGGTTCCAGGAAACCAGCCACAGATCTCTGGCCAATTTATCCTTTGGACCTTACCCACAAATCACGCTGGGCCAATCCTTTAGCATCTAACAACTAAAGGTTTATTAACATAAGAAAGAAAAGCATGAGAGTAAGGTTATTAAAGTATAGTACATTACATGCACCGAATCTCCCAGTTCTCGATGCAGGCTCTAGCAGAGATGTTGCAGCTGCTGGTTTAAAAGTTCTTATTTCACACCCTAAGATCAGGATGGGTTCACAGGTTTTCCGGGCTCTTCGATCCCTGCAATGCTGCCTCTGGGATGAAGTGCTGAGCTGAGAATTAAATGGCATTGACCGCATGGCCTCTTTATACCTCCTTCCTGGCCTCTTCTAGTATGTAGCAGGTCACCTGGACAGAGGCCAATCTCTGTGTTTCCTGCTGGCTGCTCTCAGGTGACAGCCCCCATTCTTTAGGTGTGTCCATAGCCCATTGAGAGCCATTGTTCCACAGGGCCTCGGTAATTAGCATGTCCACAGGCTCGGCCCTGCCCAATGCTTAACCACATGCAGGGAAATCTTCAGTGTCCATACAAGTACATGCTAACAATTGCACACACAGACGTTATTCAAACACCAGAACAGCATACATAGGATTATCAGATAATAAGCTTCTATTCAATATGTCACATGGCCCCCTCCTATACCATTTTTGGGGCCAACACCCCCACCTATGGGTGTATCAGTGATCTGGCTGCTCCCCTCAAGATCCAGCAACGTGACACATGAGGAGTAACGGTAGTTCGGACTAGGATATCTAGTCCGAACTACATAGTTCGTGCCGCATGTAGCCGCGCGGCACGGGATTCGAACGAGCAGGGATTTAAAAATGGCGGCGCCCAGTTTATGCAAATGAAGCCCAGGAAATTCAAATCCCGGGCTTCATTTGCAAGTGTGGTATGCCTACATTACCCCGCTAGTTCGAACTAGCAAGGTAGTGTGGACATACCCCCAGTTTTGTTCAATAAAGAGAGATTCTATTTTTGAACACAATTGTCCTTTATTTTGTACATCAGGAAGAGGGGCTAGGGAGGGGTATGTGGAAGGAGGTGAGGGAGGAATGGGGTACGAGCCCCCGATGGGGAGAACTGGGCTGGGTCTGCGGGCTTCTGGGGGTGGAACCTCTTCTGCAGCCCCCCAATTACCCCCTCTCCCCAGATGGCAGCCTGCGGCAAGTGCAGCCGGTCTGATGGCCAAGTGCTGTGATGTGCCCAGTGTGGGTACTCCAGGCAATCCAAGCCAGGACTGCTTTGCAAGCGGGGCACCCCTGAGAACTGTCTGTCCGGGGTGGGGGTCGGATCCCTTTAAGCACAGCCCTCAGCTAGCCTGAGACAGCAGCTCCACGCTCTAAGTCCTACTCTGATGCCCTGCCGGCACTGCTTCTGGCCATCCTTAACCTCTGTTCAGGGTCCACTCAACGTGAATGTGCTAGTCTGAATTAGCAAAATGCTAATTCGAACTAGTTTTTAGGTCTAGCTGCGCTAATTCGAATTAGCTTAGTTAGAATTAGTTAATTCGAACTAAGCTAATTCGAATTAGCGTTGTAGTGTAGACATATCCAGGGACACTTCTAAAGCTGAATGAGAGCACCAGAACTATGGATCTATGACAGAAGCTCATGATGCCCTCCCCTGCGCTGAAGTGTAGACATACCCTGGTATGGCTCGTTCTTCCACAAGAACAAGGGAATAATTCCATCTAAGCTGATTCTACCTAAATATGCCTATCTTTCTGTCTCAGGCTCTCATATACCAGGAGTGTAATCAGAATATCTGATCCTTTGTCACTAGTCATCGACATTTTCACTTCTACCTAATACAGGCAGTCCCCGGGTTACGTACAAGATAGGGACTGTAGGTTTGTTCTTAAGTTGAATTTGTAGGTAAGTCGGAACTGGCGTCCAGATTCAGCCGCTGCTGAAACTGACCAGCGCTGCGGGGTGGGGGCGCACTAGCTGCGCCCCCCCCAGCAGACCAGGGAGCGGGCGGTGGGACCGCCGAGACGTGCCGCGGTCCCGCCGCCCGCGTCCTCCGCGTCTTTGCTCCACGTCTCCCTGGTCTGCTGGGCCCCCCCCAGCAGACCAGGGGTACACGGAGCAGCTTTTCTAGCCCCAGAGAACATGGGCGGCAGGACCGCGGCGCGTCTGTGCGGTCCCGCCGCCCGTATCCTCCGCGGCTTTGCTCCACGTCTCCCTGGTCTGCTGGGCCCCCCCCAGCAGACCAGGGGTACACGGAGCAGCTTTTCTAGCCCCAGAGAACATGGGCGGCAGGACCGCGGCGCGTCTGTGCGGTCCCGCCGCCCGTATCCTCCGCGGCTTTGCTCCACGTCTCCCTGGTCTGCTGGGCCCCCCCCAGCAGACCAGGGGTACACGGAGCAGCTTTTCTAGCCCCAGAGAACATGGGCGGCAGGACCGCGGCGCGTCTGTGCGGTCCCGCCGCCCGTATCCTCCGCGGCTTTGCTCCACGTCTCCCTGGTCTGCTGGGCCCCCCCCAGCAGACCAGGGGTACACGGAGCAGCTTTTCTAGCCCCAGAGAACATGGGCGGCAGGACCGCGGCGCGTCTGTGCGGTCCCGCCGCCCGTATCCTCCGCGGCTTTGCTCCACGTCTCCCTGGTCTGCTGGGCCCCCCCCAGCAGACCAGGGGTACACGGAGCAGCTTTTCTAGCCCCAGAGAACATGGGCGGCAGGACCGCGGCGCGTCTGTGCGGTCCCGCCGCCCGCATCCTCCGGGGCGAGAAAAGCTGCTCTGTGTCTCCCTGGTCTGCTGCGGGGGGGGCCCAGCAGACCAGGGAGACGTGGAGCAAAGCCGCGGAGGATACGGGCGGCGGGACCGCGGCGCGTATGGGCGGTCCCGCTGCCCGTGTCCTCCGGGGCGAGAAAAGCCCCGTTCGTAACTACGGATCCGACGTAAGTCGGATCCGTGTAACCCGGGGACTGCCTGTAATGCATTACTCACAAGTATTCTAGTTAAAACACTAAAGGAGGATAGTAAGAAGTTGCCATATTTGGAGTTTCTGCTTGGCACATATACTGTGTTTTAGCATTACAAAAGCATGCATTTTGGGTTGTCTCCTGGTCTATAGGAATTTTGTGATGCCATATTCCAATGCATGGCCCAAGATCTCCATAACATATTATGTCAATTTGAAGCCTGGACCTTGTTCTTCTGCTTTTACTTTGAAGTGACTAGAACACCTGTGAGTGCTTTGAATTAATTTGTTTGTACAAAATTTTGAGTTACACATGAAGAAAGAAAAAGTAGTATATATGGAAAACACCTGAACACAAACTCACTCTGCTGCTGTGAAAATGTGGCTGGAGTTAGTGCAGATAGCATTTATAGGACTGTCATGTCCTCGCATCTCTCCCACTGGTGTGAATGTATCCACGTTCCAGAGCTTTAGAATGCCCCCTCTACAGCCACTGAGAAGAACAGAGGAACCAGGCACCAGTCCGAGGGCACACACCCAGACCTTGTGTGCATTGGGAACTTGCTGAGAAAATAAATGATACATAAATCACGGTAAGGCAGAATGGATACAGGAATGAGCACAGGTTTAGGCATCAATCAGGAAGTTCTGAGTTCTAATCCCAGTTTCCCAGCTCCACAACAGACTTGCTATGTGGTCATGAATACATACATCATAACTTTTCTGCTTTGTTTTCTCTCTAGGTAAAAAAGATAATGTTTTCCGACTGCACACAGTTTTTATTTAATAAAATTAGTTAGCATTTGTACATAATTTTGAATGTAAGAAATGCTAAGTGCTATCGCAGCACAGGAATAAAATCCACAGAGCACACCACTGATTCCAGTATCTACCTGATCATCTCATACATGTTGGATTCCAAGAGAAATTAGTAGTAGATACAGAATAACTGCATATTTGAATGTTTGGTTATCCACTTTACTGATAAGCATACAGAACGAATTGTGGGGGGAAGGAAACTTCTCCACACGCACTGGTTTCTGGTGAACCAACTGCCCCACTCGTGTAACTGCTGAAATTTTCAGTGGTTGCATGTTTACGTATGGTAATTAACCTCATTTTAACATCCCTATGACCCAATGAGCTCCCAGAATGATTTCGGGCTTCATAAGATCCCATCTTTTGTCAACTTTGACATGCCTGAGCACATTTTGCGTAGCCTGTCGTTAAAGGGTTTGTTCAGGCAGACATCAAGTGGTTGTAGAACAGAAGTTAAGCCACCAGGTACTACAGCCAAAAATAGTTTTTTAATTTTTTTTTGGCCCCATGTTTTACCTCATCCATCTTGTGTGCCCTGAATATGTCCCAAACAAGCACAGAAGGTTTCTTGAGAAGTGCTCCCGGTCTCTTATTCCACACTTTTCCAGGCATTCAATACAGGCAGTCCCTGACTTATGTCGGATCCGCAGTTACGAATGTGGCTTTTCTCGCCCCGGAGGACACGGACTGCGGGACCTCGCGGTCCCGCCGCCCGTGTACTCTGGGGCGAGAAAAGCTGCTCTGCGTCTCCCTGGTTTGCAGACCAGGAAGCCGCGGAGCAAAGCCGCAGAGGAGCTCGGGCAGCTGGGCAGCCCGGCTTCCCCCGCGGCTTTGCAGATCAGGGAGACGGGGAGCAATGCCGCGGAGCACGCCCGCAGGGGGACAGCTCAAGCGTGCCCGGGCTGTCCCGCTGCGGGCGTGCTCCAAGGCTTTGCTCCCCGTCTCCCTGATCTGCAAAGCCGCGGGGGAAGCCGGGCTGCCCAGCTGCCCGAGCTCCTCTGCGGCTTTGCTCCGTGTCTCCCAGGTCAGCAGACCAGGGAGATGCGGAGCAAAGCCGCAGAGGAGCTCGGGCAGCTGGGCAGCCCGGCTTCCCCCGCGGCTTTGCAGATCAGGGAGACGGGGAGCAATGCCGCGGAGCACGCCCGCAGGGGGACAGCTCAAGCGTGCCCGGGCTGTCCCGCTGCGGGCGTGCTCCAAGGCTTTGCTCCCCGTCTCCCTGATCTGCAAAGCCGCGGGGGAAGCCGGGCTGCCCAGCTGCCCGAGCTCCTCTGCGGCTTTGCTCCGTGTCTCCCAGGTCAGCAGACCAGGGAGATGCGGAGCAAAGCCGCAGAGGAGCTCGGGCAGCTGGGCAGCCCGGCTTCCCCCGCGGCTTTGCAGATCAGGGAGACGGGGAGCAATGCCGCGGAGCACGCCCGCAGGGGGACAGCTCAAGCGTGCCCGGGCTGTCCCGCTGCGGGCGTGCTCCAAGGCTTTGCTCCCCGTCTCCCTGATCTGCAAAGCCGCGGGGGAAGCCGGGCTGCCCAGCTGCCCGAGCTCCTCTGCGGCTTTGCTCCGCATCTCCCTGGTCTGCTGGGGGGGGCGATAGGGAACGTAGGTTTGTTCTTAAGTTGAATCGGTATGTAAGTCGGAACTGGCGTCAGCCGCTGCTGAAACTGACCAGCGGCTGACTACAGGAAGCCCCAGGCAGAGTTGCTCTGCCCCAGGCTTCCTGGAATCAGCCGCTGATCAGTTTCAGCAGCGGCTGACGCCAGTTCCGACTTACATACCGATTCAACTTAAGAACAAACCTACGTTCCCTATCTTGTACGTAACCCGGGGACTGCCTGTAGTCACACTTTCATCAATCCACCCCTTTTCATGTGTGCATAGGACAACACCCACAGGAAATGTTATGTTTTTGGGCAAGGTTTTTCTTTTAAAAATAGTAATAGGAGGGAGTTTTGATCCACCGGCCAAACATGATAAAAGCACTGTAAAATATGGCAATTGGTTTTAATTAAAACTGTGTTTTCACCAACATCAGTCACCATTCTGTTGCTTCACAGATCAAATGTTTCATCCATATTTCCTAGTTGTGACAGCTCAAATGCATATTCCTTTTAATGTTATATAATAAACCTATGGAAAGATTTTTTTTTTTTCCAGGTCTCTCAGCTACCTTTTGTGCTATCTTTGGTCACTGATGAAGACAGACCTTGATGTTTAGGAAGCAAGGAGACCAACACAATCATGCAGCAAATATCAATTACTTTACTGACTTCTAGTTGTTGTCTTTTGACATTTGCAGAGCACACAAATTCCAGTTCTAGTGATAAGGTACCCATTTTGTTGGCATTCAACAACCCAATCACTGAAATCTTTTTCCAGTCTAGGACATGAAGTACATATCATTGGATGTATTTTCTTGCTTCTTGGCATGTCTTTTAGTGTTTGGGGGGAAAGGGGTTTGTTTTGGTTTTTTGCCACTCTTGTATCTGCTTCTCACTGAAACAAAATTCATGAGCAGTAGTGCAATTACCGTTTGCTTCTGCATGTTCAACAACTTTAGGTTTGAATGCTGTATCATAAGCAGACCATTTTCTTTTGATTTCACTGTTCATTTTAAATACTAGTATGAAAATCTTAGAAAATAATTTAGTTATAGCTTTTATAGGACTTTATAAAGGAATGTCACCTGCTTTATCACTGTCAAATTATAATAGTTGTTTATTTCAAAGCAGCTCTTTGGCATGTCTCTGGCAATAACAGCCTATATAAATTGTATTACAGATTCGTCAACTGAGCACATTACATAGTCAGACAGACTAGACACTCAAATTACACAGTAGCAGACTGACACCAGTGCCACAGTACTATCATTCACTGCATTTTTCTGATTGACTTGTAAGGTCTAGCATTTTGTGAAATGGATGGGTCAAATTTCATGCGGATACAATTTGAATAAAAATCGAATTTGAGCACATTGTTTAAAATAAGCAAGTCCTGAACTGACATTTCATCATCGGTGATGTACAAGAGGAGCCAGCAAATTTTGGCTCCTAGTCCATCAGGGTAAGCCACTGGCATGCCGGGAGGTTTGTTTACTTGATGCATCTGCAGGCAGGGAGCCCCTCAGCTCCCAGCGGTTGAGATTCACCACTCCCAATCAATGGAAGAGGCAAGAAGTGACACGGGCCAAGGAACATGTTGGCCACCACTTCCTACCACTCCTGTTGGCCGAGAATAGTGAATTGTAGACACTGGGAGCTGCCGGGCACTCATGCTTGCAGAAGCTCCAGGTGAACCTCTCGGCGCATCAGCAAAGTGTGTCAACTGATGAACTATACAGTTGTCTTATGAAAGGATCATAATGTTTTGCCATTTTTACCTATTCATTGAGGGGCAGAGAGTGGCTTATAAATGAACAGGCTAAGGAATCCTAATAAATTAAGAACACAGCAGTAGCTAAGTAGGAGTAACTGGCTGAACACAAATTGAGTGTTCATTTTATAAAGTATGAAATACACACAAAAGTACTACAACATAATTGTTCACCTGATTTTATATTACCTGAAGCAGGTCTTTTTGAGCTAAATCCCATTTCTTTATTCCATTATCTCTAGACCCACTGAAAAGGGTGTCTCCAACAATAGTAAGTGCTTCAATCCCATCATAATGAGGTGGCTCAAAATTGTGTGTTGGACTTACAGTTCCAAGAGCCCCTTCAGTTACATCAAACATCTGAAACAAGAAGAGCAATAAATGTTCAGATATGCTACCTGCTCTTGACAGGCAATTAACAAAAACACATTGGAGAACTCACTTCATCTCTACCATGTTGCTATCATGAATACATTCAGGGTGTGTCAACACTCCAGTGTAAGCTCAAGTTTAGAAGAATTCAAGTTAGAAGACCCCGAGTTTGTTAATCTATGGCTGGCACACATACACTTGTTTTGTAATACCAGGTTAGGAACTGGTGAACTCAGAGTCTTAACCTGGAGTTCCAACACCTAAGTTGGTGGTTGGACTCATGTAGGCCTGAATCCAACCACACATCTCTCTTTCTTAGTGCCCTCCAAAATGTGGCTGCTTCAGCCCTTTGTTTGTGGTCAGTGAGAGGAACTTTGACTGCGCAACAAATATGACTGTCCATAGGCCAAAGAAAGTCCATGTTTTGTAGAAACCCTTTGGTGGCATTTCAGAACACGAGTCCAGTGGGACTTTGCCTAACCTGAAAAGCAATGGGGCTTAAACCATGAGTCCCACTTTGATTCAGACTCAGACCCTCCACACTCAGGGGATCTGTGACCCATGAGACCTGAGTTGGTGTGTTGACAGGAGCAGGGGCGGCCCATGGCTATAGGCCAACTCGGCTGCTGCCTAGGGCACTGCCTTCAACGGCGCCCGACGATGATGTCGGCCCATTGACGGCTGTGCAGGTGGGGGCGCCGATCGCACATTCTGCCTGGGGCGCCAGCTGCCGCAGCCCGCCTTAGGCTGCTCTGGACAGGAGGGGCTAGGTTTGAGCCTGAGTTTGAACCCTGGGCTTGCATGCAGTGTAGACCTACCCTCCATGAAAGATTTATAGGAGGAAACTTCGGTAAGAGCTGGAGAGTTTTATTCCTTACAGTCAAAACTCAGGATAGTATGGAGCACATAATTTATGTGGCAGAGCCACACTTAATTAACATAGCAGTGTTTCACTGAATTCACTTCAAGAAGGAATTACACCCAAGTGCTAACTCACTATCAGCTCAATCTTCTAAATGTATTATAAAAACATGTCCATATACATAACCAATGGCCAGTATTTATTTGCTCTGTAGAAGAGGAACATATCTCCTCTCAGTCTACACACTTTCACAGACAGTCCATTAGTAATTTCTGACTGCTCAGGGATGAGGGCTGCAGTAGGATGAGGAGCAAAAGGGCAGAAGCATTGTCTTGTGGTTGAGAGATGGATATTTGGAGGAAATAGTTGAAGGAGTATATTTTTCAGAATATTTTATTTCTATAAGAGTTCTGTCTCTAATTACTGATGTCTTTTCTGAGCCACATACCTTCCTCCCTCTCAGCTTTCTGAGAATGGAATCCCACAATGTAGGATATTCAAATAACAGACCATTAACTCCATTCAAATAATTTCTGTGTCATGCAGCTTAGTTCCCTTAATATCAATTTACAATGAATAAACTTGACAGCAAGAAAAACAGGTTACTTTGAAATGTAATAAAATAGCTTAAAAGATTTTTTAAAATGTCTTTATGAATTACATTCAATTAGAAATTCATGGAATAATTGCGTCCGTCATAGAAAAATATATAAAACTAATTTTATCTAGAGATTACATTTCCTTTAGTAATATATTCTGTTCTGAATACTTTAATACACAACAAGCCAATGAAATAAATTAGGTTTACATCTCAGATCGTAAGATATCCATTAAAGAGTATAACTAAATGTTTCCCATTAAATTAAGTGAGTTTATCTGCTGGACTTTCTCCAACAATTTGACAACATATTTCAGTACAAATATGATGACATTTGCAACCCATATAGTTTCCTGTCAAAGTCAGGCACCCAAAAATTGAAAATGCAAGAATTAAGGTTGCCTGCATACCTTAATTCTGACTGTCTGGATGTGCATAATATATAGTATTTAATTCTATAACTGCATGCTATTTTCCCCTCAGGATCTCTGCATCATGCATTGCACATAGTTCAATATTTTGTATATGTCTATTATGTCACTTATTCTTCTCACTTTTGATATTGACCTAATATTTTAATTTCTCTTAATAGGAAAGTCTTTCCGTGAATCTAAAAATTATTGTTGCTCTTCATCAAATTGTTTTTGCTACATACTATTTGAGATGTGGCCATCGTAAAGGGAATGTGCTATAAAATTGGTAAGTATTATTAATAATACATAATATAAATTACATGGATGTTAAATTTTCCATCTGGGCTGCCATTTTGGGGATTTTGGAGAGGAAGGTCAAAAAAATGGAAGTCGCACTAATCCTAAACCCTTCCTCTATTTGGGAAGTAAAGAAAATGTTCATACTAAAATGTATTACCTTTATATAGTGATCCTTTGAGCCAGTGATGATAAGATCTTGTCCGTTAGAAATGCGGTCTACAGTAAGGCACATGACAGGGCCTAGGTGACCAGTTAACTTTCCTGTAGACTGGAATCTTTAAGAAGAAAAGGAGTAAATGTGAGGGTGAGGTAATAGGATGAAGAATATTCTTAACATTTTAACCAACTCGAAACCTGGATATAGAGCATCTTCAGCTCCACTTTTAAAAATGTGTGACCCTGTGGGGATTTGGAGGTTTATTACTTCCATCAGATATGCCAAAATATGTTCTATTTATACAGATTTATAGCACAGAATTTCTGGCCAGATGGATCGTCTCCTGACTTTTTGGTCTTTTCTTCACAAGTATTCCAGATGTCTTCTGTTCCTTCCTGCCCCTTCCATATATCCAATTTACCTAACAAGCACGCTCAATCAGGTTAAATGTAAACAAATACTTGCTTAACTTGTTTGAAAAGTCTAGTTTTATGTTAAAGCAAAATGCAGGACTATGTAGCACTTTAAAGACTAACAAGATGGTTTATTAGATGATGAGCTTTCGTGGGCCAGACCCGGGTCTGGCCCACGAAAGCTCATCATCTAATAAACCATCTTGTTAGTCTTTAAAGTGCTACATAGTCCTGCATTTTGCTTCAGCTACACCAGACTAACACGGCTACATTTCTATTACTAGTTTTATGTTAGTAATTCCAACTACAGGCTAAATATCCACTTTAGCTAGTCTTTGGATTCTGACTAGTTCTGGGTATCTGTATGCTGTTTTGCATAATCGCTGTCTGGTTATTTTAAAATTCCAATATATTATGTAAATTCACTCATTGGATGATAACCACTGCTAGTCTGAATGCAGGCATTAGCAAAACCATTTTTCAGTAGCTATCTTAAATATGCAAGTCTCAAACTGCTTGCTTCTGACGCATTGTGACAGATCAGAAAATGACTCTTCTTTCCAGTGCAGAAGGTACATATAGGCCTGATCTTGCAGATTTCCACTACCATGCAAAGTGCCGGCTATGGCTCTGATATTACAATGAATTCCACGCAAAACAACATTCATTTAAAGAGGGTGTCTCCAACACACAACTCATTACAGGATGAGGGCATGGGTGACTATTAGGGCATTAAGGGCTTGCACAATCCATCTATATTTATTTGTTCTGAGCTGTGTTTCAGAACAGAACTGGGGCTGTATGGAGCTGGGACTATTTCAGTGCAAACAGAATGACCATTATTCTGATAGGAAGAGACTTTGCTGACCTGAAGGTAGGAGAAAAGAGAGATGCCAGCAATGCAGGAAATGATCAAAAGTATGGATGTGAAGGACTAGTCGACAATCTGATAAGCAAAATAGCTTACACTAGTCAACTAGTCGCTTCCCCCCACCCTTGCTGCCTCTATCCCAGACTCTATGTGGCACTTTCACCTTTGAAGTGTAGCAATAGCCCTAGGGTTGTTGCTACACTTCAAAGGCGGAATTGCCCTATCGACTAATCAAATAGTCGATGGTCCTTGTGGTGTTTCGAAGTGGCAGTGCTGTGTGGAAGCCGGGATCAGGTGGTCCTGGGCTGCACACGGCATTTCAAAGTGGCAGCTCTGCGTGGAGCCTGGGGTCTGGCGTCAGGCTTCTAGTGGCGCTGCTGCTTTGAAGTACTCCGTCTCCCTCCCCTCCCCTCCCCCTCCCCCCCTGCTTCCTCTTTCTGATAGAGGCAGCAAGGGGTGGGGGAAGCGACTAGTTGACTAGCATATCGACTATTCAATTAGTCACGTAGTCTATATTTAACATCCTTAGTCAAAAGGTTTTTAAACCCATTTCCACAGTCTCACAATCCCTTTTTTTTTGCTTCTGTGATTTCCTCCCTTCTAGCACATACATTTTAAGTTTTCCAACCTGCAGAGAAGGCACAGATGGGGAATAGAGAAAGGAGATAAGGAAAGAAGCAGACAATGAAGAAGGAAAGCAGGGGAAGTGCCCGCGGAGTTAAGAAAGGCCAATGTACAAGGCTGTATTATTTTCATTGAAAAGTCACTTTTCAACCCTTTTATTCTTTTCCACGCAGTTGAAAAATAAATGTTTAATTCAAAGACTCAGCATACACCTAATTAAACAATAATATATTGTATTAAGCCAGTAAAAATTATATTGGGCTAATTAATCCCTTGGGTTTTGATTTATGAGCTTGTTCAGTCCAAAACTAAGACATTGCCTCATGAACTGGAAACATCCTAATACTACCTTTGTCATGTATGGTGGTAAATATCTAGAGAATACTCTCTTTTGCCTTAGTTATGTACCTTTTAAGGTCCCACATTCTCACTGCATTTCCAGAAGCTGCATACAGGAAGGTGCCTGTTGGATTTAGTGCAATTTGGTTGGTTCTCTTTGTGCTTCCAGCACAAGCATCACCTGACATAACCTGTCCTGAAGACCTGTATATTACCAAGAAGAGACCGTTACTTTCTCTTTGCTCGAATATATCTTACATTTTGTTTAAAAATAAGTATGCTTATTTATAAGCAGAATTGAGACTGATTCCGAACACTGAAAAATAAAGGTAAACCCATAGTAGGGATGTTAGATATTGGGTAATATAATAGTTGAGTAACCACATGAATTCTTACTCAACTAATAGTCGATTACTCGACTATTCTATAGTCTCCAGGGGTTGGGCCCACAGCCAGTGCAATCTAGCCCCACTCCCGGGGAGCCCCCTGCCATCCTGTGTCGCTGCCTCTGTATCAGAGGTAGCAGCACAGGATGCTAGGTGGGAGCCAGTCCATGAGGGGGCCAATTTAAAAAACAGCTCCCCACGCAGACTGGCATGGAAAAAGGCTCCTGTTCCCCCCGGCGGGGGAGGGGAATAATTGAGAAAATTAATTGATAAGCCTAAGCTTATTGGTTAATTATATACTCAACCACTCATTTACATCCCTAATCCACAGAAACACTCTGTACATGAATTAAAAACTTTGGAAATTTCCACACATAATACACAAATATTTATTGAGTCTGCATGCATGAAGAGCCTGGCATCACAAGCTAGCCATTTGTATTACACTGACCTATGACAGGGATTTCAAACTAGGGAGTGTCAGTCTGGTAAGAACTTGGATAGGAGACATTCAGGAAAACCTGAGGTGCTGTTTATTCAGGAGGCAGCATTTCTCCAACACATGCTGATTTATCTGTCTGTTGATTCATGCTCAGCACAAAAGTAGGGTCATGCTGCTATTGGAAATACCAACTTCCTGATAAAATGAGATGTAAGACCCAGTGGCATATTTTTACAAGTGTGCAGATATTAAGCTAAAATTTGACCAGATGTAGTTAAGATAACTGCATTCTGTTCAGTACACTTCTGTTGTTTCAACTAGATACATTGATTTCTCTTCCTAAAAACTGTTGTACATTTATACGGACACAAAATGACTGCTGTGTTGCAACACAGAGGCAGTTGCAGTGGAGTGGTAGACAAAGCGATAACACATATAACCAGGGCTTGACAAACCCCGGCGAGAGCTACTCGTCAGACCGGCACTGCGCATGCGCGAAGCACCAGTGAATGGGGCACACGGAGTGACTGGCTGAAATCTACTTGCCATGGGCGAGTAGATTCAGCGATTTGTTGAGCCCTGCATATAACCTACGTTTAGATAAGAGCAACAAAAGAGGTTTTGTCCTCATTACTGTAACCCTGTTGTGATACTGTAAGACCAATGCCTGCAGAGCTCTTATCAACTTGGTGGCAGCTGCAGTTCTTGGTAGCTGCTGCCTCTGCTCTGCCCACAAGCAACCCAGCCCATTCTATTTTCTACTCCCATACCCTTGCTCTCTCCCCTGAACTCAAACAATCCCCTTCCTACTTTATGCAATACATATCCCACCTTTAGTTCCATATCCTCACTAGTCAGCACTAAGATGCAATCTCAATTAAGATCCTAGTATTTTTAGATTTACTCAGAAAATAAGTTCCCTTCAAATATTAGCTCTGGCTTTTGAATGATAGTGTTTTGAAACTAGTCTGAGTACTGAATTCTCACCTTGAATTCTTATATTTGCAAATAAGGTAGAGATGGTTTTAGGTTTGGTGAGGGGTTCTAAGGAGCTCCATAAAAAACCTCTCCCATATATTTAAATGTCAATAGAACTAGCGTGTAAAGACTCAGCTCACTTAATCAAGACCATAATACATCTCAGAGCTGAAAAAACCTGAAGTCAAAAGCAATGGAATGTAGAAAAAGAAAAACTTCACAATACTTTCCTTTTCTCTAGAAACTGTAGGTCTAAAAGTCCAGGTGTAAAGACAACAAGAGTCTGTTTAGGGAGTCTGAGCCCTTATACCAGTGATAGCAACCTAGGCTAGCGAGTGAGCCGCATGAGTGGCCCTCTACCTCAGTGGGCTGCATGACTTGTAACCAAGACAGTCTCCTGGGATAGGGAAGTGCTAACTGCACTTGCATTAGGGATAAGGGCACCTCCACCTTTGAACTGTAGCAAGAGCCTTACTATAGTTCAAAAACGGAAGCCCCGTAGGGAGCACGGGGCCAGCAGGGGACTGGCCCCATGCTCCCTGTGGCACCTGAGCCTTTGAACTGTACAAGAGTCCCAGCAGGGCTCCTGTACATTTCAAAAGCAGAATCACAGCAGAACTGGTGTAAGCAGAGACTGCTTCAGTCCCCGCTTGTGCCGTTTTCCCACTGTGCCTCTTCCTCTCCTCTCCCCCCCCCCCCCACCCTGACTTTTTTTCCCCCTCTTTTCCT